TTTTTTTTTTTTTTTTTTTTTTTTTTTTTTTTAATTTTTTTTTTTTTTTTTTTTTTTTTTTTTTTTTTTTTTTTTTTTTTTTTTTTTTTTTTTTGTGAAATTTGACGTTAATAAAATGTTACCAGGAGCATATCATTCCACAGTCATTTATCTCCCCCAAAGTATTGGTTCAGTAGGGGTGACACTTGTATTGTCCAGTGTGTGTGTGTGTGTCCATAGGCTCTATTCCCATAGATTTTAGATCGATCTATCCCCGCGGGGAGTCTCACTAGATTACTTTCAGATAATCCGACTTAAATGTCCGTCCCGCCTACTACAAGCTGAAATGAGGTAATTAACTTTCGTGTCCGCCAGGCTGACAGCTATTTAGCGTGAACCCCCAGGGAGTTAGGTCGATCCAAAGTAGGTCGATCTAATCTATGGAAATGGGATGTAACTCTCTGGCCTTGGATAGGAGATATTTTGGGTCCTACCTCTGGCGAATCTCACGCTGAAAAAAAATGCACATAATTAATCTGCCATGATCTGTGACCCTGGTAGAGGGTAGTTTCGATTCGACGCGGATAATTTAATTTTATTGACAAAAGAGGATTACTACATGACTCTATGCTTCAATCGTTTATTCAGTAAGGGGGGAGGGAAAGAGAAATCCAATCCCCTACACCAGTTGCTATTTTTTTAAAATTAATTGTTAACCTCCCTACACCATCCTATTTAAATCTACTTCCTATGCACCTGATATTGGACTGAGAGTGCATGTATATATATATAGTGCGCTTTCAGATTGACTCTGCTGATTGTTCTCTATTTTTTTTTACTTTCGGTTTTCTTGTTCTTTCTATTGCTTTCCCTTGCTTTATCAAGTTGGGTTACTTTCACCAATTCGTTTAACAAAGTTAGCGCATGCATCGATCCCAGCAAAATACCAACTGAAAGGAAATTAACATAACAATAAGGCTTTAACGCGCAATCGCTTTTCAGGTTGACCTCGATAGGCAGTCGCAGTTCCTTGGATACGAGTAAACACTTGAGAGAACCGCGTGTTGATACACATACCATAACAACACTGCCCGAGTTAAGTCGGCAGCAGAAAACGTTGGAATAAAAAAGTGTCGCGCAAAGACAGGCCTGCCGCAATGTCATTCAGTCCGTATGGTCCACAGCCAGTATTAATTCCCCCGCCGAGAGGGGCACCAGAAAACGCACTCAACAGGGTGCCTCAGATCACAGAATTTGGTAGAATCGGCTTTAAGCAGGACGAGCTCTACTGGCCATGGTTTCTTGACACCAGCAGCACTGGGGACATAGCCGTGGCCGATACCGACAACAACAGGATCCAAGTGTTCAACACCCATACCCACAGCGTCGTTTTCCCACCCTACGGGGTCCAGGGCCAAGGAACCAACAAGGGAGAGCTGCTTGCCCCAAGGAGTGTTAAATACAGTCCCATCCCCGAACTTCACTTCACCGTCGCAGACACTGGGAACAGGCGAGTAGTGCTTCTTCGTATTAACTTTAAAAGCGGTTGCCTTGAAGAGGTAGGAGAATTCGGTCGCACGATATTCCGAGAGCCATCCGATGTTTCTTGCGACTGGCGCACAGGAAACATGTACGTCACAGACACTAGTCTGAACAAAGTGACAATTCATAACAAATACGGAGAGCTCGTCAGCGAGCTCCGGCCTCAACCCCAGCGCCCATTCTATCAACCCATGGGTGTTGCCGTAGATGAAAACGGACGCGTTTTTGTCACAGATATGGGCAATAACGCCGTGAAAATTTTTGATCGTAATGGCGATTTCATTCAGGAGATCGGTGGGCTAGGTACTGGGCTAGGACAATTCAACCGCCCAAAAGGGATTTGCATCGACAGAAAGGGTTACATATACATTGCCGATGAGGGGAATTCCCGTGTTCAAATGTGGTCATCCGATCTCAAGTACATGTCAGAGATCATCACAAGCACACCAATGCCAAAGGGGGTTGCAGCCCATAATCAACTGTTCGTCACCACCGGCGATCAGTACAACTTCGTGAAGGTGTATAACATGTGAGCCTCTTGTCATTGAAAAAAAAACATTTCAGACAGTACGTACCATTCCTACATTCATAACGTAAAGATACACGTACTGTGACACTGAATTGAACTGGATGACACTGCAGGAATATATATATATACCATTTTTCATATTCTTGACAGTTTTGTCCAACCTCATCACCAACTTCAGATGTGAAAACCAGGACTGACCCAGTACTCCGGTCATGTAAAAAATATGAGGGGATTCTTCATGAGAAAATCTCCTACTGCATTGGGTTTAGACCTTAACAATCTATAAAATACTGGTTACATTTGAAAATGAGATGGGAGGGCTGAAAACAATTTGAAATACCCAAAAGTAGTGCAGCAGTACATAAATCAAATGTAAAGTACTTGAAATTCATCAAAATATATCCAAGTTACATGTCAAGTTCAGCATACAACCAATTTTTAAAATGTGACTTATATATATGATATTTTAGGACAGTCACCCAAAACATGATCACTTTCATCTTATTGCAATCAATTTGTAGATTGAAATGTGCTAAGAAAGTCAATACAAACACAATCAACACTGTGAACTATTTGTTTTTATTGTTAATGTATGTTTGGCTTTATTCTTATTCATGTATAGTTTCAGTAAACAATTTTAACTGATCTTGTCAGCATCTAGTTTCACATATTTTGTAAGGAAATGCAGCATATAGTCTTTCTAAACTGTTATTACTTTTTTCACTTCATCCATTACCGTTTCTTCACAGTAATAAAATCAAAAGCTGCTGAAGTGAGCAATAACATCACTCACAGCACAAACCACTATGTAACCAAATCACAGTGGATTTATAGCCGTCACTCGGTAATTCAGTCAGTTTACTGATAAAATTGTACAGCGTCTCATTAAGAAATTCAGTGCTTATGAATATGTTAATAAATTAAACATCAAATGCTGTATCTTTTCATCTTATGGATCCTGTCACTAGTAAAAACCACTGTAAGTGATCTTGGGGGGGAAACAGTTGTGATATCTTCTCTCACTGGTTAGAAGAGACCATATTGTTGGCATCACTCACTTTCTCAGGCGTGTTCTGAAACATATAAACAAATGTGTAAATAGCAGCAAACTATGGCAATAAATAAATAAATAATAAAAATCTAAAAAAGCACTTATTTTCTTTCTAAATATGAGAAATACAAATAACAACAGAACACTGGATTCAAATACTAAAATAAAGAGGTGCACATGGTGAAAATCTCACTTTTATGAATTGTACATGAAAAGATATTTTCAAATATATTTTTTATTTAAATTTCAGATTGAAACTTAAAGAAAAAGCATTGCTGTTTATGCCAACATAAATAAATCAAGATAGATCATATTCATATACAGATTGCATAAATGACCTCATTACAAATCAAAACAGATGGTTTCTGTGTTTGACATTCAGGATTAACAACACTAAGCATTATGCACTATTTAATATCAACTCCAACATTCAATAATTTTTTTTTTCATGTATAAAATGTCCAAATGATTGTTTTTCTCACTCAAGTGCCCCTGCAAGTGTACATGCTGATTAAAAGTACCAGACAATTCTTATAAAAGAGACCAGGAGCAATAACATATTATGCTCTTTCTATCTCTTTACATAAATCAGCAGAAAACCTGCACAAATCAGTCACCAATCTTAAGTATTCAATGAAGCTTTCTTTCAGTTATTCCAATTAGTTAAGTACCTGTGGTGATAACAGAGGCATTCCTGCCTGTATCAGGTCTGGGTTCAGCAATAATGGCACTTGATGCTGGTGCTGTAGAGGCTGTAGAGGCATGCCTGGCTTCAGTGGGGAGACCACTGTAGGCAGAGGAGGGTGTAGGATGTAGGTGGAGGTTGGGGGCAGTGGAGTCTCATCTGTCAAGGGGCTGGCAGGTCTCATGGGGCTGCCTCCTAGAATACAGTTGGATCTGGTTATATGAGTGTGAAGGAGGCAAACTTTGGAATTTTATGCATGATAACCACAAGAAAGGAAAGCAATAAAAGCTAGCATAGTGGAGGAAAATCAAATACATTTTTAATAATAATAATAAATTTTAAGGCTAAAATTCATTTAAAATGTTCAGTAGACTTTACATAAAAACAAGTATACGATCAACTTTTTAAATAAAAACTTTATGAACACTACGTACTAAATATATAATAGAAGTACCACTTTATTTAAACATACATCTTTCAAAATCTTCTATTCAGCTCTTACAAATGCCCAAGAAGTTTTATGTGGCATATTCCCACCATAAGCCCAACACTAGAGAAATCCTACCTGAACCCCATGTGCTTTGCCCCACCACACCGTTGGTCTGCTGTGGTTGCTGTAGCTGTTGTTGTATTGGGTGCAACTGTGCCACTGATTGCTGCTGCTGACATTGCTCAGGCCCAGGTTGTTGTTGTTTTTGTTGTTGTTGCTGCTGCTGCTGTTCTGCAGGTTGTTGTTGTAGTAGAGGAGTGTTTGGTTCAGCTTGAGAGTTATGTTCAATAACCTGGGGTTCAGGAGGAGTGGTCTGTTGCTCGGTTGGTTTCTTCTCTTCTGTACACCAGAAATATTATAAGAGAAAATTATTACTATAATGTGATAAAATAATTTTCACAAAATATTTGTATTTATTTCAGGCAAACTTATCTCACACACAAAATGCTTAAAATAGTGTTAAATACTTTCTATTCTTTCATTTTCTCTACACAAGCAAACTTTTACACCTCAAAGGGCAACTAAGGTGTAGAATGAAAACAGTGGACTGAACAATTCCATTTCTTTCTATCACATTTAAGAAAAGGTTGCTGGTTTACCTGGTGGCTTAAACAATTCTGTTCTAAGAGTTGGTAGAAAACTGTCAATTCTATCCCAGGTTAGTTTCCACAACTGTGACTCTTCCTCCTCAGGTGTGAAGATCCTTGCTGTCTCCATCACCAGTAACATGTTCTTCAGTGACTCAGGAATAGCCTCATACTGAAAAAAAAAAGTAATGAGTTTGGCAATGCTATGTCTTTTATGTCAAAGACACAAACTTCTTTTCAATGACTGCTTTTGTATAAGAGTACCTGTATAAATAAAAGTGTACCAGACACCGGAGTACACCGGCATTACACAATGATGACACACCATCATCACCCAGACATCAACAAAAACAATGATTAATCCTAAATGTTGGACTTTTTAGGCTTTTAATTAAAACAAAGATACTTTTCATTTATATATCGTAAAATGACAAAGAAGAGTTCAAGAGTTTACAAATCAAGTACTACTCTTTAGCAAACAGCCCTCCACATATTCAGTGGTAATAGCATGTCATTTAATGTGCATGGGATTAAGTTTCTTACCAATAGGTCACTCTTATCAGCATGCATGTATTTGTCCATGTAATCCAGTATGGTCAGCCACAGGGCTGTAAAAGTAGGCAGGGAAAGCAGTGGATTCAAGTGCTGTAAGAAAACCTGGAACAAAAAATATGCATCACAGTATTACAATTAGATTTCTCATCCTACACAAAAGATAGAAAGAAATCCTTAATTAAGTTTTTATTGCAATGGGTTTCATAATTTTTTCTAAACATATGCACAGTGCTTGATCTTTTTCCTACCGAAATGTAAAAAATAATTTTCCAGGCAATTTCCCTTGGAAAAATCTCTTTTTTAGTTAACAATTTAAATCGTAAGTAAAGGACATCCAGGTATATGTCAAACAAAATGAAGCTTTTGACTATTAAGACCAACAGTTCACTGACTAGGGTCAAGTTTTGGTTTGCATTTCAATAGCATTTCACAATGTAACACATCAAGGGTACCTTGCAGAGTAAAGTAGATCCTCTCATCCTAGTCTCCTCCAGTCCCACAGGGTCTTGTGTGCAAATGTTTTCCAGAAGTTTGGCAAGAAGTGGGAACAGGACCTATGCAGATAAATGGAAGTAAAGTTATATATTGTATGCTTTCTATAAACAAGTAGATGCTTAAAGCATAAACAATATCATACATCTTAAATGACTTCTAGAGGGTACAGGTCATTTAAAATCTCCCACACTTACTTAAGGACTTTCAAACTTGTCCTTACAAAATTACTTTCTTCTCTGTGATCTTCTGGCTAGTATTTAAAATGTACATATATATATATATACAAAGGAGCTTCATTCATACTCACATAAAGGATGAGTGCGAATAAGGGGGTAAAAGTGCCCACTTTTGTACATGAAAAATAAATTGTGAATGAATGGAAAAAAATTGATGCCAAATTAAAGTTGGGGTCTTACACTTTTATGATCCACTTAAAAAAATTTTTTTTATTGAATTTGGAATATAAAAAAATAATGTCAAAATGACCTTGTCAAATATTCATGAAAATGTGTGTTTTAGGGGGGGTCTGAATTGCAATGCTACATATCTTTAGTTATAGTAAGTACAGTTAAGTGAAATCAGTGATGGCTTCTGTGAGAAAATACCGTAATATACCTCTCCCTCTCTTCTCTAGGATTAAAAAAAAAATTACTTTCCCATTTACTTGTGCCACACCACAATTATTTAACACAAAACTCTTTTTTACATCACAAGACCAGTTTCATTAGAAAAAAAAAAATCATTTACGTAATATAAATGCTGAAACAAGTTGCTCTGATTCATTAGACTGCATACAACAGGTAAATCCGGCCCCCCCCCCCCCACATATAACTCATTAAAATACTAAGTTACGATGCCTCAAACCAAATAATATTTTTCCATGCAACAAATATATGCATAAACTTTATAATAGCAAATTATTTTTAAATTTTGACGATGGGCACTTTGCCCATGGTTATTCGCACTCATCCTTTGCTCACCACAGGAAAAAGATTTTAAAATATATAATGTCCAAAACTGACATTGCAAAACTGAGCAGACTTACATCAAATTCTAATTACCTTATTAAAACAGGATTCCCATTCTGTAGGGGACAGAGTTTGCAAATCATGTACCAGTAAAGCCCTCTGTAGGTATGTAAGTGCTTGACTTCTGACTGCTCTCCTGGCATCACAGCAGAGGCGAGCAATACCTACAACGAAAAAGACATTTATGTTATTCTTTGATAGAGGCAAAATAGAGTAAACGGATTGAAAATGTTCTTCCCTTTACTAGCCCCAATGTTATTTACTCAGAGTCCACTACAGTTAAAAATTTTGATGCCAAAGTGTAAAACACAGAAAATGATCAAGTACACACACACACTTCTGACCTTGATGCATATTATGTAACACTATTTTCTTATTTAGGGCACTATCCTATGACACATTTGGGAAATACATTGTAGAAACTTTTCTAATTAAAAAAAAATGCTGCATAACCTATATAAAAACTATATAAAATTTCAAAGCCAGTGCTACCCTACACTACCCTACGTACCCTGCAAAAGTGGACACCAGCATTTTATCCACAAAGTTCCAGAGCCAGCATCTATACTATCTTTTCCCTGTCCATCCTCCTCCTCTGCCCAGGAACCAAATATTGAGGCTGCCCTGGTGTGTAAGGTGTGCATCAAATCCAGAAGCTGAAGCAAAGTTAGATAATGGTTACTCAGAAAAAAAAAACTAGTATTACAGCTGTGGTATACACAAAACTTCTTACACTGTTACTACTACAAATTATCTTTTACATGTGGTAATGCCATAATCATATAATCATTATCATATTTCATAATTATAATCGTTTCCATTAAAAAAAAATACTGCTCATGATATTTTTCTTACTTACATCAACAATGTTTGGATAAAGATTGAATAAAAACACATAATTTTTAACATAATGAGAACTGAAAGTATTAATCAATACCATCCACTGATTGCAAGTCCTCTATACTGTTAAGTTAAGCCCAGTGGCAACAGTTGGCTTTCAGCACTTAACCCACTGCTGGGCCATATCATGCATAAAAATAGTCTACATATATGCAAACATATTACAAAAACAAACATGAATTCACAAAAGGTACCTGTATTGATAGCGAGTGATAAGCTCCAGTAGTGTTTTCAAACTCTTCTTCATCATCTGAGTTTGTGACATGTGCTATGTGAGCAGGAGAGGATTTGGATTTTTTCATTTTATCTCCTTTTTTTTGACCATGTTTATGGCCTTTCTTTTCATGAACTTTTGGCTTTAAAAGATGTTTGTTTAAGTGGGAACCTAGAAGTAGAGGAAATGAAGAGTTCTGATCATTTCAGATGTTCTTAAAATATTGCCTCCATCCATACCAAAACATGCACCCACCAGATTTCAATTTCAAACATTCTTCAGACATAGCCATAGATTTTCTTTATAAAGATATTCACTGCCTCGTACACCAAAGATAGAAATATTTGAATGAAAAAGTAAGCTAAAATGGCACATCAATTTTCCAATTTTTTTTTCTGTCACTGTATTCAAACAATCTTAATCCTTTGTAACTCTCATATAACTATACTGCTCTTGATATATATCAAGCAAAATAAAGTTTTAATCTAGATATGACTTAAAGTTACATGTGAAGCTAGCTAAGATGTGACGCATATAAAAGTCGACATGTCAAAGGATAGTATTTGGTCAGCGTTTAGTGACAATGATTGACATATCAACTCTCTTCAAACGCATCCTTAACCCAGTAAAATTAGCCCCAATCTTGACATACAGCTATAAAAGGAGGTTCTTGACCACCTACCTCCATTTACACTGGCTTCCACAAACATCCTAATAGCGTGAACACAGTTCTCAAAGTTGTGTGGTGTCACATGGGCAGCATCACGCACAAGGAATGCCAGGCTTTCCGAGGCCTTCATTAAAGACTTGGTATCATGTGGCTGTAGCCTGTCTCTTAATTCAATACTATACTGGTTCACCAACATTGCTCTTTCACATTCTTCTTTATTGACCTGGAAAAAAAGTATAAAATTTTGTTTCATTTTATAGATGTAATAGTAAGTAAAGGAATGACATAAATAATTAGGGACCTTTTTGACAAAAAAAAAAATAAATAAATAAATAAATGTGACAAGATCCTATGAATCAATATTGTCTGCCTGATTAAAATGTTAAAAACAAAGCAAAGCTTCAAAACGGCAAACAAAACTGTGAGAAGCCTCCTTTTAAATATTCAGTAAAATGAAAATATGGACAGGCAGTTACAGTATATACAAATATGTCGGTGAATGTGACAGTTATGGAAATGAAATGTCCAGGCAAAAGTACATAAAGATTGTAAAGGTGATCACATTAAACTACCTTCAAGTCGGATTACTTGTTACTGTAACACTACTTGCTTCCACTTACCACCAGCCAGCTGCCATTGGAAGGCCTCACATTTAGATCTACCTCAGTGCTGGCTTTCTGGTGCTTAGTCTGAAGTGCCTCATACAACTCACTGTCTGAGGTATACCCTCTGTCACTGTATTCACTGGGCACGTGGTCTGTTCCTATCTCACTATCACTCTGAGCACCTTCAGGGAGAGAAAAAGACACATTTATTATTGTTCATGAACTGGAAAAAGGGATCTGGAAATAATGTTTAATCACCCCCATATTATGACACAGGTAATTACAAAACAGGCAATTCAAGACACATTTGAAATTTAGCTTTCGACAAAATAACTTAAGATGTGTATAAGTAAAAAGTTAAAATGAAATACCATTTTACAATTCCACAATGTAATTTTACATGCCACTTAATCTAGGGATAAAATAGAAAACTTTTTATTAGGTTTGTGTATTTGCCTAGAATACATGCATGCATGCAAATGTTAATTATCTAAATAAATAACTACCAACAGACCCATTTACCTGCATCTACCAGACTTTCAGCCACATCCACTCCATTCCCAGTCTGCATGACTGGGGGAGGACTGGCCCCAGCCCCAGCCACCTCCAGCAGTGTGAACAGCGTATACCAGTCCTCAGAGGAGTGGATATTAGCAGCATTAGTCCTCAGTAATTCATGCAGACCAAAGGTGACTTGACGACACAGTGAGTGGATGATCTCTGGTTTCATCATCAGTAGCATCCTCAGAGACAGTAACACCTAAATAACCAAGACATGTTTGTGGTTAGTTTTTTTAATCATGGTGTATATATGAAACAGAACAGAGTGAAACAAATGTGAACTCATTTTAAGACAGCAGGGATATTTGGAAAAGACCCAGGGTATTTGAGGCAGATCATTAACAGTCAAAGTAAATGTTGACCAATCAATAAGATATACACAAGCTAATAAAAATTCAAAATGCATCCACACTTCTGATTCTTATCTTCAAACAAACAAACAAACAAACAAACAAACAAACAAACAAAAAAAAAAAAAACTGCCAGGAAAAATGAGTGTGAAATGTTTAAAGTAGCAGAAGGGGCACATCTTTCTATGTATTTTTCTAATAATTATTCAACTATGAGCAACTTGCCTGTGATGCCACCTCTTCTCTCCTCAGTAACCTAATGGCCAGTCTGAGCAGCCCCACCACAGCTCTCTCAACCAGGAATGTGTGAGCACTGGCATTCACTATCAAACTATAGAAGTGTTCTCGAACTGCCTGCCAGATAGGAGCTACTCTGTCTCTGTAAATACAGAGAAGTTTGCATAGGAGGGAGGAGATTTTGTCTTACTGATGAACAATTTTTATTTGCCTTAATGCCGACCTTTCGACAAAAATTGTTCTTGAAATGTATACATATAAACCCAAAATTGCATTTTAATAGTTGTCTCAATTGAAGCTAGAGTGAAAGTATGAGTCAGTTGTCTTTGACAGTTGAGATAAAACAATACCTGTTCTGAAGAACCACTTTAATCAGGAGTTCTAAGTAGAACACATGCTGAACGTCATCATCACAGTGCAAGCCAATGGATTCAGGGTTTTCAAGAGCATTGTTAGAGGCAAATATCAAAGCCTGAAAAAAATAAGCAAAAAATGTCCATTAATTCAAGTTACATAATATACAATGTATTTGATAGTCAATATATGTTTAGAGGTCTGAAATAAACAAATAAAACAGCATATAAAAAAGATTTTTATTCCCCACCTTAATAAGGACATATCAAGCATATTTCTAAGAAAAAAAATGTGGCATAGTAAAATTACCTTGATAAGTTCTTGCAGAGAATCTATCCTGAGGAATTTACTGTCCTGTATGAGCTGTTCTGTGTGGCACTCTCTGATACAGTTCTGTGCTTTCTTAGTGGCCTGCTCCTCTTCTGGAGTGGGACCCTTTTGATTTGGCTGCTCAGTCACAAAGATGGAGTACAGAGAACTAAACACACTAGATTCAGGCCTGTGGAATAAAATAAAATAAAGCTTGTTCAAAGACGGTTGTTTGTAAACAAGAAAACATTATTTTTAGCTTATATGTAGGCCTCGATAATGTTTTGCGTATGAAAAAATAATCTTTGAAGTCTACACTAAGTTGACAAATTTTTTTAACTAATCCAGTATTGCAAAAATGTATCTCTTTTACACTTATCACCATAAGCATTTTTGAAATAGTAAATTACCTCTAAATTTGATGTACAAACATAATATAAATACTTGAAACTCACTTCACACCATTTGCTAGGACACATTCAGCCATCACACATGAAATAGGTTACTTTAACAAATATGTTTTTTTTTTTTTTTGCAATTCAAGACGATTGTTTGGTGATGTTACATTATTAAGGATCAGTATACTGTTGAGATATAAATGTTAAGATAGAGTTGAGGCAAATTCTGTGTTATAAGAAAATAAAGACTTAAGGCAGTTTTGGCATTCTGTTTCTCTTTCAAGTTAACAAAAAAACACCAAAAAAATGAAGAAATACCACAAAAAGTACAATTCTACAAAAATTGTGAACAAAAATTAAATCAATAAGGTGCCCTATAAAAGGCTATAAAAATAATCAATTTTACCCATGATCCTTTGTCTCTTCTTTGATAAGGGAAATTCTCCCACTGGGGTCCAGGAAATCTTCCACCTTGAAAATTACATTAAATTAATAAAACAGCCAGTTCATGGTGTTTCATGCTACAAAATCATGATAACTGACAATGTAATTATATCTAAACAAAATGCAAATGGCAAATTGCAAGTCACAATTATTTTATATTATCAATAAGTTCTGTATTTTCAAACACACAGTAATCATCACCTTTACAAAAACTTCAGGCAGTAGTTTAGCTCTAAAGAGCTGTAGCATGCAGTCAATGATATTCTTCCAGCCCTCTCTGAGTATGTCCCCATGTCTGTGTGCTAGTCCAAACACAGTGCGAGCTGCCAGCTGAGCCTTAGTGTTATTACCAAAGGTCACAGGAATGTGTTCTGCTGTCTGGAACAAAACAGATACCCCAGTGTAAAACAATGTGTTGTTTATCTTTATACCAAGTGTATGATACGGATGCATCTAGTCTTGATTAATCTACTTAAAAATCACTTCATTTCCATGCATACATAAGGAGTACAAACATTTTCAATTGTTTTTAAGTTTGCTGTAAGCCTGATAAGTCTCCCTTAAAAGACAAAAAAGATAACATGCTTATATTTAAATGCAGATGACATCTAGTAGTTTTTTAAAAATCACACCATATGTTCTATAAGTTAGCATTTTACCTCTGATGTGCTCAGCAGTGATGTAAACTTGCACAAAGAAATGACTAGATTATCAAATACATCACTAATGCCATAGTAGGCAGATATCATTGCACATTTTCTGGAAAATAAAGAGTTTTAATATTAACATTAATAGTCTGGGTAATGTATGAGCATCGTTGCATCTCAATTATCTACTATCATCCATATCCATTCTGAAGGTTTATCAGCAATGAGCTTGGTTTTGACATTTCTTCAAGTGAGTAATGTGCTATTTACAACTCAACTTTTAATCGCTATTAATTAAAAGGTTAATCACCAACGATTTTAGTTTTTTCTCTCAAAGCCCTTCACTATTCACACCAATGTAATTTCTCATCTTTTAACATGTCTATCTACAGGCTATTTTATTTTTAAAACTTTTTTCACTGTGACCTTTCTACTTCATTTTTCCTCTATGAATGCTACTGATAATCAAACATACAGGCAGTGTAAAATGAAGCTACCTGAAACCAGACACCGCCTTCTGTATGATGGACTCATCCATGCTCTTGTCAAACACAAATGACAGGGCAGCCACAGTGGGACCCCAAATCAGTGTGAACAGTTCATGGTCAAATGATCCTGTAGGGCAGTGGATGAAAGCTGTATCCTTGGACCCTCCTCTCTTCAATAGTAACTAGAAAATAGTAGGATTGGCAAGGCTTCACCGAACAGATGTAGGAAATTGATATCGCCAATGCTTAAGATAATTTACTTTGGCTGACAGAATTGACAATTATCTAAAGTTTATAATCATTATCATTTTCTATAAAAATTGCAAGTGACTTGTTGGATATCTTAGCTTGATTAGAATAAATTATGCTAGAATGACCCAAGAATTCAAAATAATCTTTAAACATTAATAAATATTTTTACACCATGTTAAGAACATGCAGCAGGTTTTTAAGCTGTTACATATTATTAAAGGTTTTAACTGCTGCAGTTTTTATCATCTTAGTATGTCACACTAAAACATTTAAAAGGAACCTAAGTTTCCATTAAATAACTCAAAGGCCTCACAACTTTTCCACCATTACACCTGAAACTTACCTTCCACATATAGTTTTCTTTCACATGACCAGTGTGTTCTTCTGGCAGTAAAATTTCATCTCCCCTGAAATATGATTCATAATTCACATGAGATCCAAACTGGCTCATCAAATCATTATAAAAATAATGATAACATAAAATCTGAAGAAAGTAAAAGGAAATTCAATCTCTATTAGCTAGGCACCTTCAATTCACACCTTTATTACCCAAATTTAAATGAAAAAGGTATTCTCACTTTATAGCAGTATAAATTTCTTCCAACATTTCTTGGTCAAAATCCTCTCCGCCATTCACTTTTGAGACATTTCTCTTAAATTCCTGGAAATAAAATATTCTTTTTTACATCAATTGACAAAGAAATCTGATATTTTACAAGTGAAAGTAATATTTTATAAATTTGTACAATCAAATGAATAATGGTTCCTAGTCAGACATATAGTGCAACCTTATACTGGGATCATCCACTGAATTTTTTTGTTTTTAAATTTTATTTTACCCTATGTCCCAAAATGCTACTTTAAAAAAAAAACTTTTAAGCAATTTAGCTCCCTTCATACTTCAGTCACATAGGTAAACAATCATGTTTTTTTTGCTAATTTTTTTTCTTCTCACCTGCACTGTCATTGGCACATTCTGTTTTTTAACATTATGGTTGTGCTGGTCTGTGTTCAACATAATGACAGCATAGGCCAGGGTGAATGCAGCATCGACATTGGCAAAGGGTTCCCCATTTGATTTCTAAAAACATGACAAGATATAGATTGACTTAAATTTAGAGCATACTTTTGGCAAATTGATCTTCACAATAACAATGCCACAATCAGAAGTTGAAGCAAAGATGTAGATGTTATCCAGTTTTTTGGATTATATACAGTTTTTTTTCTTCTTTTGCAATGTTGACATTTCAGATTGGGCTTCAAATCAATTTAGTAATCTTTAGAATAAAATGGTTTATAGGTCTTAAGCAACTAAAATAGATAAATAATAAAGAAAAGAGACTTTGTTTTGAAGTGATACATATATATCTGTAGAACATAATATAGTATTTAAAAAAAAAATACATCACAGTGCTGAGTAATGAGTTGACTGTAACAAAAATATCTATCTTATGTTACACTTACATGCCAGTGTTCTGCAAAGTGCTCCAAGAGATAAGAAATAACAGGGGCTTCTCCTGGTAATCTGAAGGTTTCGAGGTACATCCGTAACGCCTCGTCCAGACGAATATCATCAAAGTTAAAGTCCCTAATAAAGCAAAATAAACTGTAACTGTCTGTTTTTCATAGGTTTATTATATTTCTACGCCAGAATTAAGGCCGCAGAAAAATAACAACTTGGTGAGTACCCATGTTTATGTAGATTCCTCTAGGCTTGCATCTTCAAAATTATGAAAAAGCCAATGTGCTTCTTAAAACATTGCATGTTAAAAAGTGTCAAAGCAACTAATAAATACATATTTTAAAAAGGCAAAAATATGAAAAAGGTGATCACAAAGACTAAAGATTCATTCTTACTTCACAAATGCCTCCAAGACAGCATGGTTCTTCTTTTTGCTTATATACTCCCCAATCATCTTCTTATCAAGTTTTGGATTAGTTTTCAAGAACTGCACCACCTCTCCTGGTTGAAGAGGAGCTGACAAAAGATGCTGTTCTTGTAGGAAAGTTATTCCTTTACTTGGGTTTTGGTTGAAAAGCTCAGCACCTTGTTGTAGAAGCTGAAAGACAAAAGATGAGGTTTAGTCCACAACATATAATATTCCATATTAGTAAGATTATTTTTCTGATATCATTTGAAAAGTTCTGATCACCCACAAATTCATCACAGGCCCAGATATAACACTAACCTTGAGATATAAATTACAAGCCACAATAAAAATACTGAGAATGGGCAATTACATACTCTATGAATATAAATCAGTGACAAATACCCACCCTCTTGGTAGTTCTGGTTTTATTTATGTCTTCCACAGTAGGAATGTTGGGAGATATCTTCATTCTGTTGGGTCTCACAGAGCTTCTTTTCCTGCAAATTTCTGGAAACACAAGTAACTTGTTTAACTGGGCTAGAATCTTTTATCCTTCTGCTAACGTATCAAACTGTATGATTGCTTTTGCTTTTATTCACATTTATCTGACTTACCAATTTTGTGCTTCAAGACACATTTATAACTCCTCATTCCTTTTAGTACAAATTTTATTTAAAACATCAATGGCAAACATAATGCATAGGATGACTATTATTTCGGCAGTTAACATCCCTTTTAATAATGCTTAATACAAAAGAGATTTTAAAATTTACTTTAACCAATTGACAAGGTAATAAAATAAAATGTAATTAATTTTTATTATTATTCTTATAATTATTGTAGTTTTTACCTTCCATCTCTTTTTGTAACAGCTGTTGTCCCACTTCATACCCTGACACAGGAGGGGCTGGAGGAGTTTCACTGGCACCATGATTATAATCTTCTTCGCCCTGGGGTTTTACTGGATGAATCGCATAAATAAACAATATAAAAATTAACTATTTTTTGTTATATCCTCCATTAACTAAACTGCCTTAGCAACTCAATTGAAATCTTATGAAATTTGTTTGAAACTCATGAGAATTTTGCTATCTAACAACACGGAATTTTCAAAACATATTCTTCTCCATTTAAAGCAAATAGCAATTTATGAAGGATACCACAGACACTGAATTACCAAAGTTATATACTTTTTAGAGAGAGCAAGGCATTGCAGCAGCTCATTAAGAAACAAGTTTAAAAGAACAGGACAAAATCATCCTACAGAGTAATAGTGGACTGAATGAATCCTAGTATGCAAATGGTGAACACTACAGATTAGTTTCACTGCTACAATTGCTAAAATATCTGAATAATTACTCCAATCACAATACATATTGCAAACTAATGCAAATGAAATCTCTTACCCATTCCATCCAAGCTGTCCTGGGATCTTGAGTTAGTCAGCACCTTACTGTGGCATTGTAGCTCTATATAGTCTACCACTGTCAACAGGGCTTCCAGGCAAAGTAAATGAGTTGTGAATAGGCCTTGCACAGGGAAAGCATTCTGGACAAGAAGTGAAAAAAGTTTCATTTGAATAATTTCCAATGATAGATAAAATGTATCAATACTGAATTGGTCATATTGCCATAAATAACACTTTAATCATCTAAAACTGGTCTTCAGTCTCGTTTTAGAGGAAATATAAACTGAAATCCTGAAAACATACCTTGCAATTTCTCATTGGATTTAGACCATATGAATAAAAAAAACATAAAAAAGGCATAATCCTGATAACTTTCACCCATGTATCTACCATAAGTCAACTTATTTAATTGTAGTTTTGTAATCAACGTGAATCATGCTTACTTTTGATAAAAGTTTCGTCAGGTCCTCAAATAAATTAGAACAGACTAAATCACAGTCATAGTTAAGGTAAAGTTCTGTGACCAGTCCAGGTATTCTCCACAGCTGCACCACAGACTCCAGTGCTATCTCCTTCTGCTCATACGACACACGCACACTCTCCGTCGTGATGATCTCAGTCAGTTTGATCAGGTAGCTCTGAAAGTAAATGACCATTTTTTTTTTCCTATTTTGTTGACTTAACTTCAGCCAAAGAATCTTCACAATGAAAGCCTTCCCCCATTGGAGTCACATTAAAAGCGAGTGTCTCTTAAAAAACATCTTGAATAAATTTACTCAGTATTTTTTATTAATTTGTTTGAATAAACTCTCCTTTTTGTGTTCTTCTTATATCAATTGTTCAAATCTTAATGTATTGTTTTACTTCTATTTATACTTGAATCATAAAGAAATATGGGCTTATACCTCTAACTGGAACTTGAGATGACTTCTCATAGATTCAAACAAAAGAAAGCACACCCTCTGTGCTGCAGCAAAAAGGGAGAGACGTTCTGTTTGCAGGAGCTAAAAACACACAATCAAGGTCTTAAAACTAGACATAATAACTTCAAACAGTAGATTGTTATTTTTTAAGTGTATAACTTGAACATTACTCCAAGTTCAAAAAAATATAAAACAGGTATTTTTTGTTTTAAACTTTATATCTTTCTAAATATTAATCACCAGCATGAGAGCAAAATCCAAAGTCATGTAAGTAAACCATTATAACTAAAAAACCAAAACTCCATTGCATTTTTTTTAAATACAGGTAACAACAGAGGCTCACACTAAACAAGTTCCTGCACATTTCATCTTTAACCAGCAGAAGAAGAGAACTGTTATGTGCTATGTGATCAGCTCCGGCCTCCAGGCCAATGGTCAAGAGACTCAGACCAATGTGGATCATAACATCAGTATTATGTCTGTCCAAGGGGTTGGTCAGGGAAATCAGGAATCTGAACAGCTCTCTGACACAGGGAAGGCCATATGGTATCAAAGGGCCTGAACCTACCAATGATGTAAACCCAGTGAGTTAAGGTTATACAGTTCAGAGGTTATCATGATGATAGTCCAACTTTTAAACTCCAAACTTCCAAATCAAGCTTAAGGGAAATTTGTTTAAACGAGTAGCTTTCCATATCTTAGAATAGATTAAAGATCAATAAAAAGTATACATTCTCACTGAATTTCTCTATTACATAATAGACGAGAGAGAGCAAGGAGAGAGAGAGAAAGAGAGACTTCACATTCAAATATGCAGTATTATTTCACACTGTTCAGGAAGTACTTTACCTTCTTTGGCCACCTGTTGCTGTGTGAACCGGACTCCGCGTGGGTTGATATAGTCTACATCCTGTAGAGATGCTGTGTCAGAGACGAGGGACTCCTGGTCACTGCCCTCTACCACAGCATGGCAGCTAGGTTTGTTGGCCTGCTCCATCTCCCTGTTGGCTTGCTCTATCTCTGTGGCCAAGATCTGAAACATCATATAAATGTCAGTTTTAATTTATCCAAACATAAAAAATAATGTTTCTGTTAGATTACTCTGTAGTGTATTTAATGCCAGTTTCTTCTCTTTTCTTTTAATGTCCATTATCTCATTTATAGAATTTCACTTATAATAATAATAATAATAATAATAATAATAATAATAATAATGCATTCATAATTATTTTGGTTGTCTCTTCGGGGCCACCTGGTTATACTATCAATAACAAGATTGTCCTGGAACTTTGCAAGACCCATATTTAATATTTACAAAGATATCTTAAAACACATTAAATTACATTAAACATACCTTTTCTGAAAGATAGCATTTAAAAAAATAATAATACTTTCCAAAATCCCTATTTTACCTAAACAACCACATAATATACAAGTCTGAAGAATATCAGTCAAATGGTTTTTCATTTATTGTGTTATCTCTGAAAGTGCACAGTTTCAACGGCTAGATGTACAGACGTGTCTGTACATAAAAAGCACCATACCACATGTTGCAATATTCGATTAACAAGAAATCCAGCCTCACAAATAATCTATGGCATACCTTGTCAGCCTGAACCACATTGCCTGCTCCACCAATCCCACCACCACCACCAACCCTTTCACCCTTTTCTCTAACCTCTACAGCATCAGGGACATCACACACATTCTCGATGTTAATGGTAATATCCCCTGTGGTGCTAGGTCTATACTGGTAATCTTGTGTCTCTTGTGTGTTAGTACTCTGCTCATCTTTCTCCAGTGCCTCCTGAAAGTAGTTGATATTTTGATGGTTAAGAACCATGTTAGGTTGCTTCAAAGAAGATCTGTTTCTGTTTAAAGTTTACTACTAATACTACCATAAAGGAGAGTAATTTGAATAAGAGTGTGTCTCCAAACAGGTTGTGTGTGCATTGCAAGCCAGTTTGTAACTGGTACCTGAAACCCCTCGTGTATGTCCACCATGTTCATTCCTCCAGCCACTGGTGTGGTGGCTATGGTAGCATGTTGTTCAAACATGGCTTCTTCATCTTCCAGAGCTGTTGCTGTCACACTTGGTGCCGCCTGGTCAGAAACAGCTTCTGTGCCACTATAACAGAATATTGGTCCAGGAATGCACTGTATGTAGGATGAATGCTTTACAGAAAACAAGAAAACAGACCTACTGTGGTACGATAAAAGGGATCTATATAAATCTAACTTCCTTTATCTCACTGTTTGCACAAAAGATATAACAAATAAAACTGCAATTCACTACATAGCTATCAGTACTAGTAGATGGGAATGCATGGATTTTCTTGAACGATAATCATTATTTGTATGCGAGTGCCTTGAAAAAGTATAATACCCTTCTTTTGGTGAATCATCTAATTCTGGTACAGTGGTTGCTGCCAGCTGATTACCACCTACTGCTTGGACTGCTGATCTTTTTCTTTTTGTCTTTGGAGAACGCTTCTTTTTGTATCGCGTCTCTATCACACCTGCTCTCATTTTTAGCTAATGTGGAGAAAAGAAAAGAAGGAAACAAAGAGCATACAATAAACAAGATATATGGGTATCAAGAAAAATGATGCATCAGCAAAAAAAAAAAAAAAAAAAAAAAATACAACTTGCCAACTTAGTCTTATGGGATATTACAAGAAAATCAATACAAAACTGCTTTTGCAAGTCATCATAGACAGTGCTTAGACTGAGTCTACTGATATTCAATAATCAAGAAAAATCATGTTGTAGACTAGAGGATCAGAGAGGCGATACCGCCTCCGGATATTGTACCACCAGCTGGAGTAAGCACAATCAGATGGAAAGCCAAAAAAAAAGACACCACCACCACCANCAGTATTGGAGATATTTAGCATTGAATTTTCAAAAATTTTGACAAGGGTGCATTACAATGAGTGCCACGCCCAGGCCAATGCACCGACTGAGACAAAAAAACCAGGGGGTTCAAGTTGAGATTATATGTGACCTAAATCCAAGAGATGGGGACATAGGTCCTTGCGGTCTAGGAGGAGAAGCGGTAACGGTGACTTGTATCCCACGCCATCCTGCGGAGCCGCAGGAGCCGCATGAGCCGGCGGAGCCGCATGAGCCGGCGGAGCCGCAGGAGCCGGCGGAGCTGTACGAGACGGGTCGGGACTAAAACCATGAGTACCGCCAGCGTACACGCTGGTGGTACTAATTACCATACGTATTCATCATCATTATAAAGATATCATGTTTCAGTTTCAATTCTATAAAACTCACCCTCTTCATCCCCAGAGCCCATTTAGCATCTTCTTTGAACTGAGGAAGTCTAGAGAACAGGAGCTGAACCATGTCCATCAGTGTGTGTTCAGCTGACTTACGCAACAGCTCTGTAATATTAAATATAGGCATGTGCTGCACAACCATTTATCAATATTGGTTAATCTATAAGAAAAAATCAATGAACAATGAATTAAACTAATTTTTAAAAATGGTTGTTCCTTCAAAATTACTTTTTTTCAGCTGACAAAACAATAATTTTGCCTACATATACAAGCAAGTGAAATGAGAAACTGAAAAGTTTTACACGTGGACAAAAGAAGAAAAATTCAATGATGTTTTACTCAGACAAGAATAATGAATTAAACTGGACGCTAAGGTACCACTCGGTACATACCACTCAGTCTCATCTCAAAACATATTCTGAAACATGACTGCATTATTTCACAGACAGACTCATTGGTCAGCTGAGCCCCAGCAGCGGTCAGTAGCAGTGTCCGCAACACCTATAAATAATCATTTGGCAGGTGAGTCATGGGAAAATGCCAATTAATGTAAATTAAGAAAACAGAGATTTATTACTGGAAACAGTTCTGAAACAAAATTAGAACATTAAGACAAGAGAAAGTAGAAACAAATAGAAAATAATGCCCCGTTTTTTTTAAATATTTTTTCAAAGAAAACCAAAATCAAATTTAGTAGAAAACATGAAAACAGTAAACATCAAATGGGTTTTTAATAAAATAATAAATAATGTTATTTTCACATGCAGTATTACTTTGCAGTCTAAGATTTTATACCAACAGGAAAGCATTTGCACACGCTTACATGTAATATTTTCATGAGTACCACTTCATCAGATCCTGGGTCAGTTCCTACGAAGCGTGCATGGGTTACAGCATCAGCTATATTCTCTATGGCAGCAGGGGCTGTATCACAACAAGGATCTGAAACAAAAAAAATTATGAACCAAGTTAAAAATAAATTACTTTATTTCAGAGCTACTTTGAAATAACCTGCTATTCAACTTCCCAACTTTCAACATTATTTAAACATTTCTAAAATTATTTAAACATTTATTAAAAATTTATTACATAAAATTTTAATAACATATAATGCTCATTTCATATCACAACAAAAACTGAAGTTCATAAGACCACAAAAACTCCCCTTTTACTGAAACCACTACTTATTTATAGGCTGTCTGTTTGACCTCAAACTCACAAAGATGAAAGAGTATCTTACCTAAAAGTCCATATGATAGAAATTTGTTGATAGAAGTGAGTGCAAGCCCTGTTATAGGCCCAGTGGTGTCTTCAGACCGAATCACTTCCAAAAATGGACTCAAATACACATTAGGTTCCAGTTCGTCTAAATCTAAAAATAAAATAAGTAGATGCTTGCTTAAGGATGCATTTGAAGTCAATTTTTAGCCACAAAAGCTAACCAAATGCCGCTTTATATCTTCAAATAGTTAAACTCAGAAAAACACCAAAAGATGTAGTTTCATATTACCGAAATATGTAGTTTCATATTATAATATGACATTTGTATGGATTTGTCTTCTTGTATATAAACGGGGCAGATAAGAAGGTAAAATTTTTGACCAAAATTTTGAAGAAAGTGCCATTTAAAGCTCTTTTATGGCTGATTGAGTGATTAATCCGATTTATCTCTTGGTATGACGACTTTATTTGAGTGGTATGAGAAACTAGCAGAAGTGATTTATATGTGCTACTGGGAATCTATGCCCCACTGACCCCTTGTTCAAATGTACCTTAAATAAAAAGGAAAATTACATTGTGCTGATGATGCTCAATTTGCCTCAAAATTATTACATAAAGATTTTAAGTGCTCAATTATCTAATGATATTTCTTGATTACAGAGATTAACATCCATGAAGGAAGGAAACCATACATTCTATTTCCCCATCAGCATTTACATATTTCAATATGTAACATTTAAAGCAGACTTTATGTCAACAGACAATACTCCACTCAAAGATTATTGACTCAAAAAGAGACTTTTAAATAGTGTGAATATCATCAATCTTCAATATTGTATGTGAGACTGATCTAAAATATCTTATAAAAATATTGCAAACTATCTTGACCATAAATGAGCAAAAATGTTCATTAACCATATGACAAAATTCATCTTAGTGAAACTCCTGAAAAGAGAATCTATTTTGATCAAAAAGTTATCAATATACAGTTGGAACCTGAATGTCTCAAGCCTTTTTTTATTCCAGTAGTCTGGCTTGATTGATGAAACAGCCACAATGTGTGAATATTTTGTTTTTCCACATTGGACATTTACATATAAAACATAATCCTTGCATGTGACCTAAGTATTTTTTAAAATCCTTCTTATTATCTTTTTTTAATGCTTTCATACCATCCAGGTCTTTTACTGAGATTATAGGACTTCAAAACCATATTTATCATTACCAACTTCAGAGATTATTCTTGAAACAATTAAAATCCCTAATAATATACTGCAAATGTTTATCTGGCACTAGCACAATTCTAACCCGAAACTATGGTCAAATAATAAACATTCCTTATTTAAACTTTTATACTAACCTGCGACGTGGTTGAGTTCTTCTTTCAGACGAGAAAACCCTCCAAGCAAGGGGTCCTGGTCATCATCCTACAATTCATTTATGTTATATAGTATAATATAAATATAATAATTTAAAGATGTGTAACATAATGGCATGAAACACACATATACATTCTATCGTATACAAATACATTATATTGTATATGAAGTGCCAAACTCTATTCACTGTAGGTTTCAAGCACCATGAACCTTGCATAATACCAGTGTATGAAATACGGCTGTCCCTTGGCAAATGGGTTGACAGCTGGGTTAGAAATATCTGACATAGCTATTATTTCCTTCATTAAAGTTATGTTTCCCTTATTTTATACCAATATCATGATAGTTACCAAGAAAAACCCAAACCCATCAATAATCAGACTCTCTTCATTGCCCTGGAATTTTCTATCAATCTGCATTTCTTTTAGCTTCATTGAATTATTTAAAAACTTACTGAAATAGTACCCGAGTTAAATTTAAGGATCTTTTTTTAACAGCAACAAGCTGATATAAAAATAAAAGTTTTCTCCTTCTCATTCATTAAAAACAACCTCAAGTATTTATCTTTGGGAAACCTGAAAATGCTCGTAAGCCTACTGGTTGTATCAAATATCTAACAATTATTCAGTGTGGCAAGCAATAAGACAATCTTATGTCAAAACTGGAGATATTGCAACAAAAGTCAAAGCCACAGCATTGGCATTTGTACACTAAAATACAACCCACACACATTTCTGAATATACATGCTTAGAAAAATCAATATTGTGATTAACTCAGCTTCAGAATAAGGTAAAAATGTGTTTGCAGGGGTCAAAAAATATGCATTGTTCTGTAAATTAGCTAGATAGGAACTGTCACCTTGCATGGACGAATGGGCATATTTTAGACGAAAGCAATATCAATCAACAACCAATGCCTGTTGTGGAGTTTTAATATGCTTCTCCTGCTAGGTATAAGTGCTCAATGAAATTCCAGACAAATGCTTGTGATTCCTCTCTTACCTTCATGTCCATTTTATTTGCTAATTTTTTTTCTACTGTCTGTAAATCTAATTTGATAACACTAACCCCATTTTTTAAAGAAATCAGATCTTTTTTTCATTTCCACCTACTTTTTTAGACATAAAAATACATTAAGTTTCGGGCTGCCGCTGTTAAGAGGGAATAAATTGACAACTGACCCCAAGAAAAACCTAAATGCTATTGTTTTCATGCTCTAAAATCACCTACCACAATGCAGACGTGATCTTTTTTCAAAAATTAAAAAGGCCAACTCTTAAATAAAGCTTTTATGCTAGTTTAAAAAACATCACATGTAAAAAAACAAATGTTTTCTACTGATCATCTGACTGAGTCCCCACTAGTTAACCATCTTATCAATTCTGTCAATTACACAAATGAAGGCACACACAAAGGCTTCATTCACATGCAATGTCTATTTTCTAAATTCTATTTTCTATTTGCGGTATGTCTTATGATCACGGTCTGTGCCCTGAATATCCCGCGGCGTAATTACTGGCAGCGCGAGCCAGTTACTATAAGTTACTATAAGTAACTGGCTCGCGCTGCCAGTAATTACGCCGCGGGATATTCAGTGCACAGACCGTGATCATAAGATAGCGCGAATAGAAAATAGAATTTAGAAAATAGACATTGCATGTGAACGAAGCCAAACACACACACGTGACATGATACTGGGAAGAAGGGTATATATACCAGTAAAGAGATAAGGGGGAGGGGGGGGGAGGCAAGAAAGAAGTAAAATGATCCGAGAAAAGCAAAAGCACCCTTCATAACACTTATTATTACCTGGTGACTGTGAGATGACCATCTGGAACTTCTCCTCATTGCAGTTCCAAGTAGAGTGATCTCCCCTTGGATGATGTACACACCATTCTTTGGACACGGCATCTTAGTCCCAGTACTGTATATCTGTGTGATGTGCCAATACTGTGTTATGTGAAGCTGGGATTCTAATTCAACCTTCATACATTTCAGGTGCAACAGAAAAAAAAAAGAAAACTTTCATGATTCATAATATTAAATTAATATTTCATTCATTGCTGCATGATACTTTCACCTTGCTGTAGGGCTATTTTGAGTGAATCAAATAATTATAATATTTGAAATATTAAAAATATGCTGATAACAGTACAATTTATAGTTACAAACTGACATCTGAAAGATAAATCAAAGATCAACTACCAAATAAAATGCAGCTTTGTTCACAAATATTTTGAAGGAGGACATCAAAATAATCATTTGGATTTCAAAATACAAATTTGAGAGATAAGACAATTAAGAAAACATAGTTCTGACGGCAATTTTTCTGTTTGGAACTGGTTATTTGCACAATCACAGATCAGGGATTATTCAAATATGTACTGATATAAAGCATTGCTAAACAAACTCAAAACTTGCTGTTTTTCATTTGTGTTAATCACATGACATGCATATTTTGGCATGCCATGTATTCATTTAAAATAAGATCTAATAATAATTCTGTTGAAATAAATCTACAGGATTACTCTTTGCCAGCCAGTTTGTCAGATTGTGAATGAAATGTATCAATGCTGTTGACACACACAAAGCAGAATAAGTATAATGACACAATGGGTTAAATATATTACGAAGATGCAAGCATATATGATGGGTAATCTTCCCCTTTAAGGTAATTCTAAAAACAGGAGATCTCAATCGAGGCTAGTCATAAGGACAGCATCTGATGCTGTGTCAAATGTGAAGTATAGGGTGTCAATTTTGTAAATGCTACCAAGTCTCATGTCTCTCTTGAGGCCTTGTATTGATGAGAATCATTAACCTAAGCCACGATGTTGGTTTTGTCTCTTGAACTTGGTCTACTAGAGAATGAGGCTGCATGCAGCAAGCTCTACGTGTCATACACAGTGGTCAGTCAACTCTAAGAGCGCATTCTCAATGAATTAAGCCAGGCTTTACAAAGCCGGTGACCTAAAAATGGCGGACGTACATGAAAGAAAAACCGCCTAATCTTTTAATAGTCTCTCCGCCTCCCCACACGTCGTCCCTGCGGGGTACAGTAATTAAATCTCGGCTCCGTTCGCCATGCAGAAGCTACCTGAGAAATATTAAGTGCGCATGCTCATCAGTTAAACTCGTGGTGAAGAAAGCATGGCGGCTGAAGGCGATCGAAGGAAAAAAGCTCTTCTGTTCTATTATCTTTGAAAACAGAGACGAAAAAGGAATAAATTGGCCCGTAGAGCAGCAATGAATCGACTATCTACGGAGCTAATATCACCAGAGATATTCACGAAAATATTAATGTTCGGAGCCGAGATTTAATTACTGTACCCCGCAGGGACGTCGTGTGGGGAGGCGTGTGAGAGGCGGAGAGACTATTAAAAGATTAGGCGGTTTTTCTTTCATGTACGTCCGCCATTTTTAGGTCACCGGCTTTGTAAAGCCTGGCTTAATTCGTTGAGAATGCGCTCTAAGCTTCCTAGCCTGACCATGCCAGTCAGCCTAAGAAGGTCACCATAGGGTGCATTCCCAGAGATTTAGATCGATCCAGAGATTTAGACTCCCCTGGGGGTTCACGCTAAATTGCAGTCAGCCGAGCGCGCACCATAGTTAATTACCCCCTTACAGCTTTTAGTAGGCGGACAGACGCTTAAGCTGGCTAAGCTGACAGTAATCTAGTGAGACTCCCCACAGGGATAGATGGATCTAAAATCTATGGGAATGGGGTCATAGAGTTTTCTATTTCTCACATGGTTCTCCCAGGCTACATACTGGGCCATCCTGAGCATACTCACAAGAATACACTCTGTCTCCAGAGTATTCTCCTGAGAGGATTGGCAGTTTATCAATTTCATCTTTTTTCATCCACCCAATCTCTCTCTCTCTCTCTCTCTCTCTTAGAGTCTCAATATATATAATACTGACTCTCAAAATTGTAAGAGCTTGTCAAATTATTATTGCCATGAAGTCTACCTCAAATGTCACCTTGACTAGTTAATGAAACCTAAAACCACATAAAAAAAATTTAGACTGCAATTATATTGTAACTAGTCTACCAAAATGAAAAAAAAAAAAACAGTAATGAATTGACAAAGTATTTTTAATGAATTTCATAAAATAGCCATATATCCCCACATGACAACTGATGTTGAGATCCACATGCAAAAACATCAATTTCAGGTGGTATTTAAATCTCAGTGTGGCCAAGCACTGGCATTTACACTATGCCTACTAGTTGGTAAAAAAATTAACAAGGAGGGGTTACAGCCCACAAAGAGGTAGGTGTGCTTAATTTCAGTGTGATCCAATTTCTAAACCTATTTTATTTGTTACTTTATCCTTCATTTGTGTTTGACAAGATAACTTTATTTTATTTTCTATAGGGGTATATCACAATTTTATTAATTTCACTGACGAGCATTATCCCGATTTTTTTTTTTTTATATTGGTAGACTTGTTTGATGGGGTTTTAAGGTTTTACACAGTTAATTAACCAATCAAGGTTACAGTCTAGCGCGATTAAGTCAATACATGAAGATACTTCAATTTTACGGACTCTTAGTTTTTATGGGTCGAATTATGTTATTTAAAATAATAATCAGTATATTATGTCCGCAACACGACGTCCCTTTTGCGTTCCTACCGAAGGTAAGATCGCAGACTTGGAGGCAAGATAAGGGACACCGTATTTAGACTTCTTCATTTATAGTCAACATTAATATATTACTGTCACTGACTTAGACTGAACTCGGCAAGGAAACAGACGATCAAACTACACATGCTATGAAAGAAATATCTACCTTCTGATCGAGTCCTTACTGGTTGCCTTTGTCATATGGCCGCAACAGATAGTCGTATTTTTCTACATTCTGGTATATGACTGGACGCCTACGATATTCTGTACAGTCAATATTATGTTGATTTTTACAGTCGTCTATGTGGAAACTAGCAGCTCAACTCCACTGACGTGGTGCGCATGTGCAGATGTAAAAGCCGTCGCGATTATAGATGGCGCGACCAACCTCGACATATCGTTTATCGTAATGTAGCTCGATCGGAGTCCGAAAGGGATAAAGCAATAATATTTCTTGTACATCATCAAATTATGGCTAAAGTGCACAACAAAATATATTAAATCCTTTAATACAAGGTAAACACACACGCACACACACACACACACACACACACACACACACACATAAAGATATTGAATCCTAGAATCGCAATATTTAACCATTTTTATTTCTTATAAATAAGCCTATTGGAAACCAGTCATGCGAAAGTCTTAGCATCACATTAACTTTAATTTTTGTCCCACTTAATCATGTCTACTTATATTGAAATCATATGTGGTCATTATACCGATTGCATGTGGCCAGATATGCTTTTGGTAGTCATTGGAAAAAAAGGTTAATTTTCCTGGAGTAAACAACAATTTTCCCCTACTTACCATTGGTTAACGAATTCATTTCTACATTCAAAGTTAGTCCTTTTTTTTTTTTTTTTTTTTTTTTTTAAGTTTGGTTTTATGTTAAAATCCCTTAAGAGATTATTACAGAGTATAGCCATCTATATGGAGGTCACGTGGTCTGATAACCAGCTCAGATATCAGAATGATAGCCGTTTTTGTGGTAAAACAGAATATATTATATTTCTACGAGTTGTTTACAATGTTCTTATTGTGAAATATAGATCTCATACGAAGAGTTATTATCCCTTTGATGCAGTGGTTTGGTTCATTCTGAGTAAGGAGATACCCTACCGTTGCTGTCTTCAGACAATCACGTAATATTCCTTTTGTACATATATCATAAGCCGATGTCTGTCCAATTGTTTCCAACGCGAGTAAGTTCATTAGAGCCTACAAGTTCCATGACTAATTGACTCAGATTGACTTTAAAGCGACCTTTAAGCCTAGATTACATTTACACGGGCGCCGTGCGATGAAATTGTCCGTACCATTTTTTTTTTTTTTTTTTTTTTTTTTTTTTTTTTTTTTTTGAAATCGTATGTATGCATTACATGGCCTTAAATCCGTATGATTCCGTGCGATTTCGCACGGCCACTGTCTAAGTACTAGTACCTCCACTCAGACGCCGTGCGAAAAGTGCATTACGGGCAGCATACGTGCACCGTACGGGCATTGCATTGCAAATGTAATCTAGGCTTTACGCTGATCCCGTATGCGCTCCAAAGAAAATAAGATACAGAATATACTTTTCGTTCTCATTTTTAATTTGCACAATAGTGGTTTAGAATAAAGGTATGTGCAAAACCACATTTATTCTTTGAATGGCGTTACCTGGATTGAATAGACATAAGAAAGGCGCTGCGACGTATGCCAGGCGCGTTTTTTAGTTTTAGAATGTTTTCTATTTTTAAAGTCAAGTAGGGGCTTATACTTTACGGCATATATCATAAGTATAATTTTAATCAGGCAATCAGGTTAATCTTTTCGTTTAGGGCATAAATCCTAACAACTTTCATTATTATCTTAAAACTACAATATGTGCAACACTTTTATTTTTGTCATTTTCTAGGTTCTTCTACCCGTCTGGTTCGCTAGTCTGTTTTATTCTATTTTCTTTATCCCGTGGTACTCTTGGGGCGAGAGTTGGCCATAACACCTACGTGACCTTTTTTCTGATACCGTGTGGGGCTCAATGCGCCGTGGTTGGTGAACAATGTAGCGAATTTATATAGGAAAAGGCCGTGTGATAAAAGCATCAACCTCAGATAAAATAAAATTGTGGCGTTTGGATCCGTAGGCGAAGGCTGTCATAATTTTCATCATGCATTTCCGAATGGCTACTCGACCAATGAAATTGGATGGCGAAGTTGCTGGAGTCCCACAACAGCCTAATGGCTGTTATAATTAGACAGGTATATGATCGGAGAAAAGTGTCTCATGAACTTGCTACAAACTACAAAGTGGTTAGGCTACAAACTGGCGAGGAGACCGAATTGGGAGTAATTTGTTTTTCCTGTTTTTCTGTATCATGTTATCTTATCTTTTGATAATTCCGGTCATTATTGTGCATTAACCTCGTATTGCTACAGAGCGCCCAGGACACAATTACCTTAGATGAGACTCCGCACACCCTAAGTAAACAGGATAAGACGGGAGAGCATCTGGTTGCGTTTATCACTGGTACTGATACCACACTTGTAATTTTAACGTACAGTGTGAGATCTAGGATTTTTTAATTTTAATATTATATGAACAATTTCAATCTTCGATGTAGCTTTTGAAATACGTAATCCCTTTCTTATTTACACCCATTTATCATTGTAATAAATTGTATTATGAAACATCATTTTTCGCCTGTACAGTCTTACCTTCTTTATCATATAAGAGCTAAAATAAATTTCCGTGCCTCTTTCGAATTTTATGTCACTTGGAATATGTTTGAGAATGTGAACGTAACAGCTTGAGCCTGCTTCAGTTAGGATACTACCTGATTAATACAAAGAAAGATAAGAAATACCGGAGTTATACCTAAACGGATGAATAGCCGGTAAAAAGATGTGATGCGGCGATAGATAACGGATGTTTAATTCGATCTGCAAACTGTGAATGTGTCAGCTCAGTGCATTAGCTTCATCACGCCTAATTATATAAATGTAGTTAGACCGTTTGTCTCTCTTTTTGGTGTAAATTTTATGATTAGGCCAAATCAATTTGATAAGTTGGTTAACGAACGGCGACTTTTAGCAAACAGGGTCGGTAAACGAAATTGATTTTTATTTCCTTTTTTTTTTTAAACGTATGGTGTTTAACGAGCGTAGCAGTTAAATTTTAGTGCCCAGTCGATATTTCTTTCTTTATTTATTTATTGATGTGGGGTCAAATCAACAGTGTAGAAGATATTAAATAATAAAAAAAAAACAACGTTAACATTAATAATTTCTTGAGGTCAAATGAAAAATTGTCCCACTTACCAAATCAATGCCCAGAGTATTTTTACACTAATTATACGTGTGAAAATTTCTTTGATTTCCTGAAAATTAGGGTCGGTTGCGTTCGTAATTATCCAATTTATCAAATTTGTCTGGCCTTATCCTCCCTCTACTTTTTCTCTATTTTATCTGCCATTAAGTTCAAAGGTCATGACATAAATCCCACGCACCATCGAGAAATAAGATATAAATATTCTATTAAATAAATTAACTTCTTCGCTGTTTAGTTTTACCTTACAAGCGTATGCAGGTTGCACCCAAGTAGTAGTATTATTATTTCATGGAATAATATAAATGTTAGAATTCTTCATTTATTTCTTTCCTAGTTTGAAACATAGCAAAGACGCACTTGAATGCTACTGATATTGCTTTGAATTTAATTATAAATACTTAATTGTTTTAATGCTTTAAATATTCATTTGATCACAGAAGGTTACATCCCTTGCACAAAAATGTTTTATCATCGTAAATGTTATCTTGCACTGACCTCCTTAAATCCATTCAAAGTACAATGGGCAAGTTAATTGTGAATTTTTGAACATTCAATTAAGTTACCTTTGGTCCATATTAGATTACATCTGATGAAGCCGGCTCAAACAAAGTACTCTTCTTATTCCACTGACCGCGCGGCACTTGAAAAGAATTACAAGTCATAGGAAGTTAAAATTTTGACGTAATTACATTCCCTTGAAATCACTTCCACCTTAGCCCTTGAAGCCATAGCACAAGCAGATCAGGAACAAAAGCGAGTGGTCAAAGTGGACAAACAAGCCGCCCTGGACAGTTTGACCATACACCTTAATCCGCTTAGAAGACAGCCACAGTAAATGTAATCAAGCGCAAGTGGGCCTCCTAAAATCTATTAGGTGATACACACTGCGCAGGTGCGTTGTTTGATTTACCTTTACATATTTTAAACCCGAAATTTGATTGGGTGATGACGTCCTCTCTAATTCCATTGATAATCGTGTGACGTATTGGATAGTAACTTTATAAATGACCGCCTCGTGGACATTTCATGTCATATCAACTCTCTCACTTTGAAGACGAACACTGGACTATTACTACCAGAAACTGAAAAATGTGGACGAAAACGAAGTCGGCAACCCAAGGACATTACTTTAACGTCGCTGTAGTATTCTTACTTATTATACCTGTAGATGTATTAGCATGGTAAGTCATCACTTTACATTATTTTGTTCAGTATTTTCTTAAGGTAAACTCATGCATGTCGTATTAATTGCATATATAGCCATACATTCTTTTTATAATTAATTTAATGAGTAAACTGCATTTGCAACCATGATTCAGACTGGTTTTACGTGCGCAAGAAACGACGAAAGTGACATTTCTTTACATGTATATTTTACAAGTTAATGCTTTTTAAAGCGGTTACATCTAAATTTGCACTGGTATGTGCCTAGGCGTGTAGAATGATAACAATCAACGCATCCCATGCCTGGCTAATGAAGCGTGATAACATCTCCATGTGCCACTTCACCGGTTAACAGCGGGGTCAAATGGAGCAGGTTTTGATGCAAATTTAGATATTTCCAGTCTATTTTGATTGCCATCGCTGACGGGACGTTGATTTCCACTGATCTGCTCCATATTTGCTTTGTATGTCGACGATCTTCCTACTCGTGTCTAAATTGATAGCTATTGTATCCCTAATCCGCCCCTTTTTCTTTTCTTGCAGGTCGCTGAATAACTTTCTTATGACAGGACCAAAGGTACGTGCACGCTTTATTTAATCTTGCTATTACTTCACAATGTCTTGGGAAAAGAAGTCACAGCGCATCACATCAACCAAAATGGACAGCTACTGTAATACAATAACTGAGGCATGGGCGTGTTTGCTTAACACAAAATTAGATTGTTAGATAATATCCCCCCAAAAAGGCTATCGTCTGTCATATGAAGTCCAGAGCTTATTGCTATATACTCAATAAATCAATTTAAAGATTTATCGAGAAAGGAATTTGTATTTAAAGCGTCTTTGTGTAGTTCATTTTGAGTAGGGCTGACAGGTGAAATAATCTAACCTCCTCAAAGTATAAGTCCTGCATCTTCTTCAACTCCCTCCATCAATTTTTGAGTGAGGTAGGGCATTTCCTTTTGAGGTACATTTTCCCAATTAATCAAAGAAGAATATTAGACCCTTAACCTCTAGACTGACCAATATGAAATGTTAAGTTGTGTGTAAAGACGCATTCAAGGTTGCACTAAATTGGGATCGCAGTTAAGCCCTTTCCAATCAAACTAAGAATACGACCAAGTAAACTAAACAATAATATGGCTTCATCGACATTATGTCAATAACATTCCACAACAATGCCTAATTCAAGTCAAGATGAACTGATTAGAAGGTGTCTAGAAATAATTTTAGAATTAGTGTATTTGTGAAATTGGATTAGCAACATTAAAGAAGCATTCTCAAATAACAACAAGGAATAAATTATTACACTACAAAAGGCAGGTATAATAATTAATATTCGGCTAATGTATTTATCAAGGGTTTCCTCGGATATGCGGTAAAAGTGAAAAACTTTTCCTCGACCACAGATTAGGGTGTAGGCAGAATCCGACGCATTATTTTCTACATACAGTTTGTCACTGGAATGCTAGTATTTAAGAAGAAAATTTAGAAACTATGTGTCACGCAGAGTTTAAGACCTGCTAGCGGCGCAAAAACTCGATACTTCGTTTACCCAACTACTTACGGTATGGCCCATGATGAACAAGGGGAACCTTACAATACAAAACGGAAAACAAATGGAACTGTAATAAAGAAATGATGGACAAGACTTGACACTCTGTTGACAGAAGTGTAGCGGGTGTACCTCCTGCATCTGTCGCGCTGTTACCAATAATAACACAATAATCTGACATCCAAAGAATTGAAATTTTCAAATAATGAAAGTTAAGGCTGCCTAAAGTTGAATTTGTTTTCCTTTTGAAAAAAGTTATCAGCTGTAGATGACTTATTAAAGGAAGGTCTATAAAAATAAATATCCCGAATAAACTACTGTACTTTTTCATTTTTTAAAATTAGCGATTGAAAAAAATCTTGGTTCAGTAAACTTTGTTGAATTCGTCACTATAGCCTTGAGTCACAAACATAAAAACCCCGGCCTTGAATTTTGCTAAATATCAATTTCGCGAGTAGGCTGGTCTTTCCCTTAGGTAAAGAATGCACTTGATCACAAGTTGAAATAATCATTTCAGTTAATGACGTTTATTTAGCTGTATGATATAATGGATAATTGGAATTTAGGCATGTTGTTTCTCATTATCAGCCAAAATTGTATCACTTATTTCATACAGTCCTGCAATCATATAAGAGTACTGGTGAGATTGAACCTTTGTTAGCTACACCTCCTAATAATGGGTTTTAGAAACATTGGCTACTAATTTGGCCAGAAAATTAAAGTACAGAAATTGTGGGGCTTGGGTTTACTGAAATATCATAGAAATGAGCCTGGCGCCACTCCGTCTGCGAGGATATAAGGCAAAGTGAGTGAAAACAAGAGAGCACTAAACGTTTTTCTTCACACGATTTAAGTGATAAGTATCACTGCCTCCAGTTGATCGGCCCTTTGATCACGCCCACTTAACACAAATTTGCTATTCTTGATAGTCATCGCGTTAACTTGTTAATATCCTTTAAGTCGTTTGAAGGGAGACTACGTAACAATAGAAAATTTAAGATAAGTGACGATAAGCGCCGTGTTTGCTGACTGTGTTTGTAGTATGCAATCGAACTCAAAGGCAAACGAACTTAATCAGTTATACTATACAATACAATACCTGCGGGATTGTGAAGTGTTAATGGCACGAGGCGCAGGGATACAGGTTAGGAAAATCACCCTTTTCATCAATATATCGAAAAGTTGCGTGTGTAGGAATGCATGTGGCCAACATGAAAATTGTCACTTTAAATGATCATTATTGAATAAACAAATAAACAAGGGAAAAGTGATTCACGTTAAGGACAGCTGACTAGTAATATTTGTATGTATGTTAAAGGGATGCGTTGGTGACCAAATGGCCAGAATTGTTTGTTAGGGACACGACTAATTACACATTTTTTTGTCCATTTATTGCATTTTGTATCCACAATATGTAAAACCAATTTTTCATCCTTTTCTGTGAAAGTTAACTTTCAGTTTTGATTATTATTTTTTCTAGGCTTACTTAACCTATGCCGACAGCGTGGCGTCAGGCGCACTCATGGGTGTTGAAGAGTGTAAGGAACAGTTCAAGTGGGATAGGTGGAACTGCCCTGAAAACACGATCCCTTTCTTTTCTCATGGATCTTTCAAAAAAGGTAAGACATTTAAATTTTGTGAGAAAAAGAGGAATTTAAACAGTGAGAAGGGAATCAGGGATTTTAAAGAATTAATCTCAGTTTCTACAGTCAACCCATCTCAACTAACGCAATGTCGTTGAAGTATTTTTTCCTATGTAAATATTTCTTCTGAAGTTCACGTCCTAAGTTCTATAGTTTTGCCTGAGAATGGCTGTTTGGATGCCAGCAGCAATTAGCTGATAGGGTTTCCGCGAAGTCCTCCATAATCGGACAATCAAATCAAAGTAATCTTTTTCAGCCGACAAAGAAACCTCTTTCGTCCATGCCATTAGCGCCGCAGGTGTGATGTACACGCTAACTAGAAACTGCAGCATGGGTCATTTTGAAAACTGCGGATGCGATAACTCAAAGAAAGGTTTGCAAGGTAAGATAGTTGCTAAATATCTTGTAACATAATAATCTGATATCTATTTTCATTAAATGATTTTTTATACAAGCCAGTCTGAAAGTGATAATGCATTCGATTAGGTCCTTGCACTAGCAGCAAATGGTTGGGAGGAGTTAATGAGTGATTCATTTTAGACTTTATATAATCTATTTTTATGTAACATCTGGTTTTACAGGACTGTCTCTTTTTTTTACAGGAGGACCTAACTGGAAGTGGGGAGGTTGCAGCGATAATGTGAATTTTGGGGAGAGAATTTCTAAGTTGTTTGTGGACTCGCTGGAGACCGGGAAAGACGCACTGGCGATTATGAACATTCACAACAACGATGCTGGCCGCAGGGTAAGGGTCTTTAATCGCTTCACTATGATCTCCTTGCCTCATGAAAGCCGGAGATTTACAATATTTTGTGATGCTGATTACTAGATAAAATGATATTAATAAGAGTAACGACTAGTTATCCTTCCTGACTGTCATCAATACTTTGTGTTAGTCTTGCACAGTTAAGTTTTTCTCATATCATAATTCTATAAGTGCCGCCCCTTCTCTCTTTGTATTTTCAAGGTGTCCAGCTTCGCTTACGCATTCAAGTAAAATGTTGAATTACTGCACTTCTTTATGTTAGTTGATAATACATTTGTCTTCCGACATTCCTACTTAACCTCTCGTATCATCTGATGCCTCAGTATTTATGCAATTATTTGGTCATTTTATAGGCTGTCCGTAAGACTCTGAAGTTGACCTGCAAGTGCCATGGTGTGTCCGGCAGCTGTACCACAAAAACTTGCTGGCATCAACTCCCCGACTTCCGCGACGTCGGAAACTGGTTGAAGAAAAAATACCAAAGAGCCATTCGAGTTGACAGTATCAACGGGGAGCTGAGAAACGCAAGAAGAAACCAAGGGCTCATGTCTGTCTCCAAAAATGACTTAGTTTATTTGGAGCACTCTCCCAATTACTGTAAAGCCAATCTGACTGCTGGTTCCTTCGGCACCGTTGGTAGAGAATGTATCAAGCCACGAAAGAAAGACAAGGGCAGCACCCGTTGGGAAAGAAAAAGCTGCAGACGACTTTGCACATCTTGTGGACTCAAAGTACGCAAGCGTTATGTTGAGGTGACATCAAGCTGTAATTGCAAGTTCCAATGGTGTTGTTCCGTCAAATGTGAAACCTGTCGACAGAAGGTGGTAAAATTCACCTGTGCGCTTAGGTAACATTGATATCTTATTGCCAGTGTATTTTTTTCATGGGGCCAATACAAAGAATCAAAGGTGCGGATATATTTTCATCTCATATATATATATTTATACTATTACTGTATATAAAGAGTCTATCTGAAACATATGTATATATATAAAGAGAGTTTATTACTGAAGATGACGTTAGTTAGTGAAAGGTAATAGTGCAAAAGTCTATATTTATTTATTTTTCATTCTTTCATCTTTTGATTGACTTCGAATTGAATTGATTAAGAAAGTAGACATAAGAAATTAGAGTATTTATTTCGCCGAGCACAGAAGGTCAAGCTTATTTAACTGTTGTCCATATTTTGTACATATGAAATATGTTAAGATATTTATTGGGAAACATGTAAGTTATTGAAAATTCTTGTAAATGTGTGTACAGTAAATGGGAAACTTTGAATAATTTATTGCAAAGACATCAGCAGCACTTTTAAAAGATGTTGTGCTTATACTGTGAATAAATAATATATGTGATCAAATAGATATTAAATTTATTTCAAAAGAAATATTACAAAGCGTGCATTGTTTTTTTCTGACACACACGTATATATATATGAGAAAGAAAAATGACTGATATTAAAGATCCGAAATAAAAAGGAAATTAGGAAGAGTTAACAATTTAAGCAATCATCATTAAAAAATATTCATGTTATTTCTGATACATATGACATATGGTTAATTTTTGTACAGTCGAGGCGACACCTCCATATAAAAAAAAAAGTCCTGTGAAGTGTTGATACCAAATTTCCATTATACCATTATACCATACCACTACTGTTAATTATAATTTCATTCGAAAACAAATCAAAATAATCACGCGCTGCTTCTCAATCACGTGATCAGTCTGTCGGAAAACATCGAAACAAGACACGTTGTAAAATAAATGAATAGAATACTTCTTTTGGTATACACATGTAACACGAAATTCTAACAATTTGAGCAAAGCAAGTGATTGACAGCCTAACTTAGTGCCATTTAAGTACAGCGGACCGTTTTATAACGATTTTCGTCATCCTCTTCTCACCACAGCACGTCACTTAACTAATTTGACCTGTCAATCTGCTGTCAATCATCGGCCGTCCTAAACCAATCAATGCATTTTACGACTTTCAAGCCTTATCACTAGGTTGCCATTTTTTCTGGACAAGCCACGTGCCTGTGCTAAGGTCTGGGCGAACGTGATTATCGTCCCCCCCTCCCCCGAAACTATGAAAAATTATCCTTTCCTGCTGTAGCATTACTTAAGCACTCTGATGAATCGCAAATCCTTTGACTGCCAACTCTTTTCATCGTGCTTCGGTTGCAGATATAGTGACGAGCACTTCTGAGCCGTATTAAAAAAAAAAAAAAAAAAAAAAAAAAAAAAAAAAAAAAAAAAACTGAATGTTCGGCGATTTTTTGTGTGCTACATTACAAAGCAAATAGGCTTAAGGATCTAAAAAAAATGTTCAATTTCATTTAAAGTTAGGATTCTCCGATAAGCCGGATAAGAATTGTGAAAATGTTTTAATATCCTGTGAAATTTATTAAAAACAACATTTCCAGTTTCCTGGATGATACAATAACATTTATGTGATTCTTAATCGACCTTTTTCTAAAGAAATAAAGTGATTATACCTCAAAAACATTAACCCTGATCAAAATCATAGGCTATTGTTAATATACTAAACTGATGAGTGACGCACATTATCGGAAATCTGCGTCAATCCTCTCATTTCGAATATATTATTCCGCCCTATTATTTAGCGCGAAGAAACTCATTTCGTACCATCACTCGGAGTCAATTTGGTTACATTACACTATCGGAAGATATTTAGCACTCACTTATATTGTCCACGTGTAGCATACCGGAATTGTATTCATCACGCAAAATAGGTAAGCGTTTCTTAATTATCTATAATACTGGCAGGTGAGAACAAAATTAAGAGTTCCTGGAAATAATGGAAGCCTTTTAACTGCCGCGGTTTCCTATTGGTATTATGGCGCATCCGTACAACAGAGTTTAAATGCAATCCGACAGCGGCGTGTTTTCTCAGTGTTCCCCAGCACTATTCCAGACAAGGTCGCCTCTCGGAACTTTGGATGCCGCTCGCAAGACTTACATTCAAAAAACGACAAAATCATTCAGAATCTGTAAGTAGATCATTTTGATTGATTTTTCTTGAGATTTTTAAGACCCCACTAAAATTTAAAAAATCTTTGACGACGATTTGCGTGAGGTACGACTTTCATACAACATTGACGCAGAAAAAATTCTGACATAGGTTATTTAGCTTTGAAATTAACATTAAAGCCAAGTTGGCAGGTCAAAAGAATAACACTAGCTTTGTTGTCTTGATTCAGGTTTTCGTAAAAAAATGTTCCGTGGTTTGTAAATCTCTTTCAGATTGTTATTATGATTTTGACTCTTTTATAACTTTAGTAAAAGAAAATATTATTAAAGGATGTTTACAAAATCTGAATATTTTATAATGGTTATATTGCTAGATAGTAGTTAATCGTGTAGTGTGTTCTTATTATTGTCAGTGTTTTGAAATTCTTTCGATATTATGCAAGGGACATATAGTTGGGTGGCTTAACGAAAAAATCGCGACACGGCCTATAAAAGCACCATTTGGCATGTACATGTAGTTACCTTTCGGCATTCTAAATCAAATTAGAGCCGTAGCCCTCTGAAAACATTTACCGTTTGGTCAAAAATCCAAAATGGCCCTCAATTTATAGAAATATATACATACTTATATTGATTTTTATCAAATAAATTTTTTCCACATCCTTTTTTCCCATTAAATGCATGCTTGTCAGGGAGGAAACGGGTTTTCTTGGACTTTCTGAAAAAAAACAAAAACAAAGTTGCCAGCTACAAAGGTACTTTATTCACTATCAAATTCAGATTGTTATTCAGTATTTTTGATATCATTATAACTCCATAATACCTATCTGGTAGGTCATAAATGTGCATATTTGATCGTTTTAAGAAAATCCAAGTTGGCCGCCATTTGCCATAGGAATACCATTACAACTGTACATGCCTGGCTTTTCATCTTCTACCAGAGAGATGTAGTGTTTATTAACAATTGTGTTTGTTTCTAAGGGATTTGCACATCTTTATTATATGTAAGCTAATGTTTGATGTTCAGTTATGTCTGCTTCCTTATTAACCTTATTCTATATAAATCTGGTGTGTAGCAAGTGTGTATCCGTGTGTATTTAGGAAAATCCAAGATGGCTGCAGTTTTATAGGGATACTAGTAATTGGGTTTCAACTACTGCCAGAGATATATAGGGTCCAATTAAAATAAGTTTTGTCTCTGAGGAAATATATCATTATATCTGTTGGGTAACAAGTGTGCACTCTTGGATATTCTGAGAAAACCCAAGATGATTTCTATTTTACATATCAGTACTAATGGGCGCGTTTTAATTGCTGTCAGAGAGACATTGGGTTCATTATACAATTATGTAACCGAGGATTTGTTTTTCAAAATATTTAATGTTTTTTCATACCCTTGGTTAATTCCCCTATATATACAGGTACTTGGTCTTTTGCCATAAGAATACTAATACACAGACTTCAAATAATGCCAGAGAGACATTGAGTCCATTTTGAAGTTAACTTTAGACTGTTTTTAAATGGTTTCATATTCATATTTCCCTTATGTAAGATTTTTGGTGTAGTGTAGAAAGTATGTATTATTCTGAGAAAACCAAAGTGGCTAACGGTTGCCATAAGAATGTATCATTCAAATGTAAATATGTGTCAATTAACGGAACATAGACATGGATTAAATCATGGAATAAAGCTAATGTTTGATGTTCAGTTATGTCCGCTTCTTTATTAACCTTATTTTATATAAATCTGTTATGTAGCAAGTGTGTATCCATGGGTATTTATGAAAATCCAAGATGGCTGCAATTTTTAATAGGGATACTAGTAATCGGGTTTCAACTAGGCCTATTGCCAGAGATACACAGGGTCCAATTAAAATAAGTTTTGTCTCTGAGTATTAATTATATACCTTTAACTCTGAGATAAATATCTGGTGGGTTACAAGTGTGAACCCTTGACAAAACATCCTGATGACCATGCACTATGGCAAACGACGGCCATCTTGTATTTCCTCAAAACAATCAAATGTGCACATTTTTTACCTACCAGATAAGTATTATGGGGTAATAATGATGAAAAAACACTGAAAGACAAACTGACATACCTAAATTTAGCTTCATTTAATGTTAAACCCAATCTCTCTTTTTTTTTTTTTTTCAAATTGTGCAAGGATATACACACAAGGTTCTCAGCACATATATATTTTATGGGTTTTAAAGATGTGGAAAATACCCAAAAGCAAACCTAATTTCTTCATAACATTATATTATCTCCCTAGTTGGCATTAGTTGAAACCCCTTGTACGTGTACTAGTATTCCTATGGCAAATGGCGGCTATCTTGGATTTTTTCAAAAAGTCCACGGAAATCGTTTCCTCTTTGATAGTTAGGCATTATATAAGTAATAAGGATGTATATATTTCTACAGAATTCCATACATTTGCGGCCATTATGGATTTTTTGATCGAAAGGTATATTTTTTCAGAGTATGTCAAAAGGTAACCGCATGCAAAATTTGGTGCTTTTATCCGCCGTGTGTATAGATTTGGCCATTTTTTTTTTACCCTTAATTACCACTAATGGAGATTTATATGCAAAGCGCCATAAATTGGTTACACTTTGCTAGATTTTTAATGCTTGTAACTTCTAGTTGTGTAAATGTTTTGTGTTCATAAAAGAGTATTATTATTATTATTAAATACAAATGAAAGACGACATGACCACAGACAAGAAGCTATCAATTAACAGATATTTGACTTCATCACCATAAAACAAGGTCAACATTTCCGAATGAATAGTTTTTGCAGTCATCCCTCTTCGAAGTCTAAGAGTTAAGGCGTCTTAAGTATCGATTTTTTAAAGGTCACGAATTAATGGATGGGAAACCACAGAATAATCAATCAGCGAGGGAGCAAGGTTGATAAGTAAAACAAAGTGTTGGTGTTTATTTCACGCAAATTAGCGAAAACTTGATCTCAAACATATTGATATTTCTCTACTTCAAGGCATGTCCTGTGGTTAGACATGTAATCCACCTAGTTTGTTAAACATTATCTTTTACGCTGATAAAATTGATTTTTAAAATATCATAATCTCTGAAAAATATCAAATATATGCCATGGAACTTTCTGGTCTCAGCTATAGTAATTTATTCATTCATTCATGTGTAACTTATGAAACATTACGAGTTTCTGGAAGTCTTACTGAAGGTGAAAACTGGCGAGGACGGGAGAACTCAAAAACAGTTTTATGAATCTTTATTTTCTCAACGGTTTTGGATAGGGTTTACCTTGGTGATTATGAGAAAATTGACGTTGTCAGGAAAATGCGTTTTTTACTTTCTAAATACTGGTCTAACGCACGTTGTTGGTCTTT